AAGCCAGTTGATAACAACCCCCCCCCCCCCCCCCCCCCCCCCCCCCCCCACCCCCCCCCCCCACCCCCCCCCCCCCCCCCCCCCCACCCCCCCCGCCCCGCCCACCCCGCACAAAGCACCAACACCCCACCCCCCCCCCCCTACCTCCTCCCCCCCCCCCCCCCCCCCCCCCCCCCCCCCCCCCGCCCCAAAACCCTGCAGGCCCTGAGCAACCTGGCAACCAACCACGTTCAAGGGGGCGAGGAGGATCAAGGGAGAAAGAAGAAAACACGAATCCACCGGGCCTGTCACGATGTCTCTCTCTCATCCTTCCCCTCTTATGTATCCCGCATCATCGCAATGGATCGGCCGCCACGCATTTTACTCCTTTTCGCAACCGGAACGGCTGCAACTGCAACCCTCCCAGCGCGCGTTGCGTAAGGTAGCACGACACAACGGCCAACGACTCTCTCGTTAGATATCAGAGCCCGCAACCGGGCGTGCCGTACGGATGCCCGCAGAACCTCCCCTACATGAAGATTTTGGAGGGGTGGACAGGGCAACGGTTCCGAATGTATACATATCACAACGCACCCCGAATCACACGTGTGCTTCCCTGGCACGCTGGGGAAACCCGTGGAAGCCAAGCAATGGGATTTCCGGGGGACAGGAATAAATTGGTTGTCTACTCCAGATTATCAAGTCACGCATGCCGTGAATCCCAACTCGGAACTGGCACGTTGAGACATTTGAAAGCCAAGTCGGGGCGGGCGGCCGGGCACCATACCTAGCCCGCTCCGTGACATCTGGGTTGTATTAGCATCACGGGTATCAAAGCATATACCACACGAAGTCTGCACCCACAACACTCACTAGCTTATGTGCCAATGTTCATGCCGGCTGCTCTCTCAGGGAACGGAACGGGGGCCAAACTTGCATTCTGCACTTGCGTTAATGAGAGTGTGGATGGCGGATGGTTAGGTACCTCAAGCCCCAGATCGACAATATCAAGCCTTGCCATCGGCCACACATACCTATCCGTCAAAGGTTGCGTAACCTTGTTTGATTGCGACCAGCAACCGACAACTCGCACACGCCATACGCCTCCGGGAACAAACCAGCACTTGCCATACCATGTGCTCTTATTCCCGGGGCAGATGTACCTAGACTGAACCAACGAAAGCTTCCCCCAATGTGGCAGAGAAGTGTCGGCATCCCACACGATACATCTGTCTCTCCGTGTTTGTTACCTAGCTTTATCCCCCTAGTCTCTGTTTCCTCAATATCGCTTAGTGTTTCTCTTGTTCAATACTCGATATCTTGGCTCGGCAGCCGGCGGACTTTATCGCAACCTTAACCCAAAGACAATGTGTACGTAAACTTTCAAGGTAGCGTAAGGTAGACGGATGTGCGAGCCCGAAGCATGGTCAAGCGGATGGGGCGCCGCGGGGGGGAACGAGTCGGCTTGCGGCGGCAGAGGCGGACTGGGGGGAGCAGGGAGGGGGCGGCCAAGGGTTGTGCTAAGCCGGACTGGTCGTCCCGTAGCCCACATGAACCGCACTCTACGTAGTCTTGGTAACGAATTCGTTCAACTTGCAGCCAAAACGACGTGAGGGGCTCTCGCTCGTCTGATGATCCGGCGACAATGATTTCATTACCATCTCTTCTTCCAGGTCCAGACTTCCAGAGGGTAGGTAAGCGCTCTTGGGTTGACATCCGGCGGATGGGGGCGGAGAAGAAACATACCTTGCGCAACTTTCTAGAAGGTTTCCGTTCGAGGTGAATATGAGGTCATACGAGGGGGGAATTAGACTGGACGACATGAAGAACAAACAACAAAAAAACGAAAATAGAAGTTGAGACATTTGCTGAATGCATGTCTGCCCCCATTCTACCTCACCGTGCTCACTCACGTCCTGACCTTCCATCCGAATCATCTCAGTCGATGAGGCAAGCATGCAAGCACCTTTGTTCTCTCGATCAGAAGGGGATCATCCACCTCTCAATCGGCAATCACTCATCGCATCTCACTCATCCTTAGAGTGCCCCTCTCCCCCGGTTGAAATGGCTGGCGATGAGTGAATGTTATGCATCTTACGGATACTTCTGCCCAATATCACCACATCCCCCAGCGCCCGTAGCGACCTTCCTCGCCATCGCGGGCAGCATTTGCATGTTTGCGATTGTATCTTTTAGGTGGTAGAAAATGCCAAATGCCACGCCTTTTTTTCCAACTGCCGAACCGGTGGGTGTAAGAGTGTGTGTGCCGTCCGTCTCAGAATTCCAAGTGTGGGAACGAACGACGACGGGGTGCTTGCTTGCATTGAATTTTCCCCGATTTCAATTTTGTGATCAATCGCAGACGATCTCATTCAAAGGCAACCACTTAATCACTTCTTGCCCCCGCGACGTTGTATAAGGAAAGATAAAGCTGACGATATATTGTATCACTCGGCAGCGGGCGGCGTCGCAACGTCAAGCGGTAATTTCATTACAGGCATGAACATCATTATTATCCAGGCCTATCAGAGCCAGGCATGGCGGCCCATCAAATCTGTACGGAGAGGGCGTGATATTCGTACGGATAGAGAAGGATTGGTTCACTAGGAATCGCATCGAATTTTAAAAATCAAGGGTGCGGGATGCAGAGACCCTTTTCGCCAGAAGCACACCCTTGCAGGAACTCTGCCGTTGCTCACCCCCCTCCCCTCCCCTTCTGCTGAAAGGACTTTGAATGTTACTTTCTGCTTTCGGCCAGATGGTGGTGACCTACCTTGCTGGACGGGGTGCTGGACGAATTGTACCTGGGGGCCGGGCGGGCTTGGAAGTCATTGGGGATGGGGCCTGGTTGGGTTAATCTTCCGGGGGTTCCTCAAAACGCGGCAGATCGGGTGTTCAACTATGCAATACCCATCCGTAAAGATATTGAGGTTCTGAACAGACTACAGTCTGCAGCAACTCCCTTTACCATCATATCAGCATTTCCGAGAGGAGTATGAGCTTGTAACGAGAGAATGAGAGAGTCCATGACCAGTAGGCGCGGTGTACCGTACCCGTGCGTCTATTTGGCATTGTCTGAAGGAACAGTATGACGGCATATGTAAGACTGCGGCACATCGCGTCACCCACGTCTCATCCTTTTTTCTTCCCTCTCCTCCTCGTGGGTTCTTCCATTGCCGAACGGTAGGAACCCACCACACACCTCCCCGTCTCCCCGTAAGTCAAACTGAAAGTGAGACGTAACGACGGTGCTGAGGGGGTCAGGCCCGTCTGAATGGCGCACCCGTACCATCAGCGCGTGGCGTTATGCCACAATCGGAAAGTCCAATGCCGCATACTACTAGCACGCGTGTTGATCAGACATTCGAGCCATAGCATGGCTAGGTATTCTGATTGCTGATCCGCCGCACCAGTCTTTGGACCCAGGTGTCTTCAACCTCGGGACGAGTGAGGGATTGGCGGTCGGTGGATGTTGATGTAATTAGACATCCGTACTTTCTTCCCACGGTGAACAAAGCTTCCCAGCCAGCTTCGTCTAGTGTGTTGCTACACGGGTAACCACAATACAGTACGTTTTGTGTGTGTATTATGAGCTCCCCTAGATGCCTATCTAGATCTATCATCTGGGGAAGGTGGAACGAGAGAAAGCAACCACCCAAAGAGATGATACAACAATTATCCGCATATTAATAACAAGGGACCTTGTTGACTTGGGCCAAAGGCATTTATTTAGTCGTGATAATGCGTGGAGCAAATGGATGTGGGAAAAACGGTGCCAAGCACAAGATCGGCCGGGGAAAGAATATTTCTAGTGAGATGGACATGGAGAAGGAAACATTGGATACGGCATCCTGAAGATGGCCTCGGCCCGTCAAACCCATTGTCATGATCCACAGCGGTACCGAAGCAGAGACTCGGCCGGTGTTGGGGCTGCTTCGCCTCAACCATCGAGTATGCGTACATGAGCAGTCGGCCGCCGCTGGTCGGATGTTCTATTTCTCACGCTGGTGGGTCGAGCGTAGTGACGCAGTCGTGCAGATACTACCTGGATATGGTCGTGCGACAGGATGCAGACAGGAGAAGGTCTGCTCACTGCTGTGATTCGGGCTTCGGATCAGTCGACGGATGAGGATTCATGGAACTCTGAGAGAACACGGATTCGCTTTCCACTGCTCTGTCACCACCCATGCGGCCATGCCCCATGGAACGTGAAAACTGCAAGGAGGTGCGAGCCGCGAGTGGCGCGGCGCGACGTGGCGGCGGCGGCAACGGTATTGGCAGCGCTCGCTCCCTTTTTCTCTCTTATTCCCAGTCTCACCTTTGCTCTGTAAGAGCTCTGTAAGCTCGCACGAGCGGCGAGCCAGGGACTTCCTGGCATTTGGCACTTTTTGCGGAGCCAGCTAGAGAGTCTGAGAGAGAGAGAGAGAGAGAATTACTGCGCGACTGCGACTGATTGAATCATGGCGGCCACCGAAGCTAAGTGGGAAGCGAAACGGACGGTGAGACGGAGAGATGGCCGAAATAGCAAGGGATTTATTGGGAACGGAAGGCGCCATAGCCCAAAGATGAGTTGTGAGCGCGAGAGAGCGAGGGCTTGAATAGGTACTGGGTGCACGGATGAGCCCACACCGGTGCTCTATGTAAAGTAAGGTCCGGATAGTGTCAACTTGTAGGTGAGAATGAGACTGTCTTACACTTCCAAGAGCCTGTACCTACCTGTACTCCATCCATTGACGCTGTGGAGGAGCAAGTATGAAGTTTGAGGGTTGCTACTATCTCAAAAAAGTAGGTATCCCTAGAGTACCTTTGGTTCAGAGCAGATCCTAAAGAGGCCATGTGCGGAGACTATGCTACTTGTTGATTGTATAAACGGAGCCCTGTCTCGCATGTTGTTGACGGAGATATGAGATGGCAACAAATGTCTTGTCCAGTCATTCTGGTGGAATCTGTGACATCAAATTACGCCATTGGCATGTGTTGTACAGACAGCGTCGAGGGCTCCCATCAAAAGTGTCAGACAGTCAGACCGGCGCCAGCGCCAGCGCCCGACGTCTGTCGAAAGCAGATGGACTGATGGAGCGACCAGCGGACGAAATGGGGCACGAGATGGGACGGAGGAAGGGGTCAACTGTGGATGGGCAACAAGCGCGTCGAGTGATTGGATGTTGATGGGATGAAACGGGGGAAACGGCCATGGGGCCAAGCAGGTGAAAAGGATAGCCGGCACCACGATCACGATGACGGTGACGGGTCTGGTCTGCTTCATTTCTCCCGCAAGGCCAATGGAGTCGATGGACGAGGGAATAAGCGCGAAATGGCGAGATGACCGGGGGCCACTCGGGAGACCTACATACAAGTACAGACTGAGACTGCGGTTGAGGGATAGGCGAAGCCGACGTAACCCCCAGTTCTTGGCTCCGTGCTCCGTAGAAAACGGGCAATGGAACCAAAATTATGAAGCCGAACGGCCATGTCTTGGTGGTCCAGGCCCAGAGAGCAAACGCAAAATGGCCGAGGCTACCGTTGAGAGAGTTTTTTTTGCAAAGAAGAGATACGGGTTCCCCGTACGAATACTCCATACGCTTTGCGTGAATTACCATGTGCTGCGATCACAAAAAAAAAAAAGGATGGAAAACTGTAAAGCGGTAGAAGTTACGACGGGGAACAAGAGAAGAAGAGAAAAAAAGACCTAGCCTAGACCACCGTAATCCCGCGACCCGCTCCTTTCGATCCCTCACTCTCATCCCGTTCAGTCAGGGCCAGCCCAGCCTATTGCCTATCAGCTCCTCTCTGGGCAGGTAAGATATGCACGTACTATGTAGAGTATGGACCATCATTCGCTTACCTAAGAATGACCCCTGTTGCCTTCCCTTGATCGAATTGTTCCATATGCCTTCCATTTGGGTGTCTGTTGTTTTCCACCGACTTTCCCCAAATGGGCACAATCGGCCCATGCAGCGCCATCATTGGATCACTCGGACCCTCTTTCGAAGCCTTCTAGCGCAGTCTAGTGCTGAGAGGCCCCACTCACACCAATCTGGCTGGGCTCAGTTGATCACGGCTTGTCCCACCCCTTTTCCTTCACTACGGCTGTGTCCCAACTCCCCTCCCTTCCGTCTCCTTTCCATCCCGTCTTCCATCCGTCTTCCATTTCGTCTTCCCGCCTTTCTTCTGCCGCTGTTGTGCATCAATCCTGTCAGGTCAAGGTCACTTTCCAATTGTTGCTCAGACTGTGACCTTCCCACACCTTGTTGATTGCTAAGCCAGCCTTCCGTGCCCTCCAAGCTGAAGCCCCTAACAACAACAACAACAACAAGAAGAACAGAAAGAAAACGAAAGAGAAAGGGAGAACCGGGGGGAGGGGGCTAAGGCCACTATGACCATAATACCGAACCCCCCTTTTCGACAATACGACTCCACAGAAGGACGGGGCAAAGAAGACCACTCAAGTTCCTTAACCCATCGTCTCTCGGCTACGATAGGATGCTCTGGTTCTTCTGGCCTGCCTCGACTCCAGTCTCAGGAGGGTACTCGGCTTCCTTAGCAAGCCGAAAGTCCCGTCTGGCAGGCTGAGGTTCCATTTGGAGTGCTGGACTCTCTACCTCTACAGATACTCCGTACTCTAGGTATTACTAGAGAGCTTGAGGGTCCTCACACGCAACCACGTTACCGCAGGCTACAGCCCAACCGCAGCAAAGACTCCCCGCCTCTGTGCCACCGTGTCGTCGCAAGAGCAACGCGTCACTTCCAGGCTTTCAGTCACCGCATGCCTCCACCGGTACCCGCCCGCGGTGCTGGTGACTGGTGTAGCTTCAGCGTGTCTTTGTACAGCTGTATCTGTGAAATGTCCAAACCTCTCTGGCCATGTCATGATTGTGTAGGTATCGCGTGAACATTGAAGCTTGTTCGCTGTTTACGGAGTACTATTGAAGAATGGCCTACGCAGTAGAAGCGACATGGAAGTATAGAAGCAACGCATTACGCATATTCCATCGCTTGGCTTCCATTGGTCACCGGTTGTCTTCTGGCCTTCTCTTTCCGGGCAATGATGTGCCTCCTGCCTCGTCTTGTCTCCTTTGCCCAATGAACCCTGCAAGCACACGACGTACGAAGTACTGTTCACTGGGCCATAGGCATTTCCGTACAGGGTTGGTCGGTGCTTTTTTTTTTCTTCCCTTCGGCGGTGATACCCGATTGAATGGCCTTGGTCAAGTACTACTTCTGCGCACTTTCGCTGTCTCCGATACCTTGTTCGTGGTCTTTTGCTGCGTACCACCTATATCGCAATGAGACTTGTTCCCACACCCTGGCAAACTCCCCTTCCGCTGACAGGTCTCCCCTGCCTCAGAGCCCACACGCATCCTGGGGCCTTTGCCCCGTCCAGCGCCTCGTCCGGGTCTCCCTTCAACAGGCAAGAGCGAATGTGTGGACTGGGACCCTCCTGGTACTGGCCTGGTGGATGGGGGGAAAGGCCCTGGGCCCCGGGCAGCATGGTGATGGAAGGATGGATCTGATTTGAGGTGCGCAGACGTTCACCCTTCTTCTCGCTGAGGTGTGGCTCGGTGGATACTGAGGACCTTCGGGATGAAGGTACTGCTACCCGCGGACACGCCTCGTTGGGTTACGTTTAGTAGGAGCATTGTGGTCCAAGTACGTACGGATACTGCTCGCAACCCATGACTTTTGGTACTTGAGGCACATGGCCCCCGGCGCGCTAATCCAGTGCGGAGCATTCCCTCTTGCGGGCCCCGTACCTACCTATCCTGACCTTACTCTACCATTCCTTGCCTCGCCTCCTCGCCTACCATAGGCATGATACGGTACGGCCGCCGTCCAAAAGATACTTGCCCCATGTACTTGTTCTGACTGGATGGATACCGGACGCTTTTAGCTATCTCATGTCCTCTCCTCCTACCCATCCCCTTCAATCCTACCGTTAATGCTTCACCTTTCCTCTCCTTCTCAAACACTCCCAATTCTCACAAGACAGACATTCTCACTAGTTCCATTTTCCTTCTTCGCCTGCTTCCTACTTCTTCCACTCTCTCACGATCCACTGCGAATCCTTTCCTCGACACCACCCGTCACATTCGCCTGATATCCCCACCAAATCAAAAAGAGAGACCCATATCGCTACACGACATCAATCGCCTGCCGCCGTACGAACATCGTCGCCGACTTCATTCCTCGTGTTCACCACAAAACACAATACAACCACTATTCCGACACGGGTCACCAGCTCGCTACCACGTTCTCTCATAGCTAGTTTCCTTGTTCTACCAAATACCTACCTACCAACTTCGAGAGACCGTCCACAGTAGCGACGAATTCGACCACCAAACCACGCCTCATACCGTTTGTTTCCTTCGATCAGCATTCCCCTCCCGAATTCGACTCTGTAAAGACGTCACGTCGCCAGTCTTCGAAGCCACCAGCCAAAGGAACCCGTTTGTACCGCATCGTACACTCGACCGTATTGGATAACCGTCGAACGTGTGGCTTGATTGCATTCCGCATACATCTCTCAGAACACACTACCACTGGTCTACCTTGGAGCTTCGCTGCACTCTTACTGTTAACTGACTGTCGTCTGCGACATTCTGCAAGCAGCATCTTGCACACTCATTGCCGATTGCGACGAGTCAATTCCATTCCCGTCACCAAGACACTTCTAGCGTCTCCAATCTTGTCTTAGTGCAAGCCTCCTCCCAAAGCCCGCCTGAACATAGCGCCCTTATCTACAACGCTCTGGGCTATATACCTCCCGTGGGCCCCGTCCTTTTCAGCACCAACAGCTCTCTTCGATCTAAGCTGTGCTCGCTCTTTTCGACCCAACACCACGACAACAAGCATATTACACCACATCGATAATCTTTAGTCGATCAACGTTTTAGCGCGACTCAACTTGCTGTATCCACATGTGCAACAAAAAGTAGGATTTGGTCACTTCATCGAGACTATCCGCCGAGGGAAACATTCCGTGGAAGACGACCCGAATTCGTCTCAACCGAAGAAAGGCTGCACTCACTGTAGTTTGTTACGACAATCAGCGCCTTCTATGGGGTCATCGATGCAATTCTAGGCGCCCAAGACTACCCTGCAACACCAGTCTACTGCTGTCTTTTTGATCAGCGGCTTTTGGCAACTCCAATATTTTCTGCACAAGATAACTTGGCGTGGAAATGAAAAGGTCCAGGATAAGACAGCACTCCCCCATCTACCTGAGTCCTTCACCTTCACCCGAGAGGGAACTGTCACCACCCAGTCCGGCTTCAGCTGTCCTGGACTGGGAATACACCACGATCATGTCGAGGTCGAGACCCACCAGCGGGGCCTTGATGCCCGGCGCCGTCATCTTAACACCACCCACTCTCTCGGAGATCCTCTCGAACACCTCTATGCCGCCATGGACACTAGCAGCATTCATGGCATACCTCTCTCAGAACCACTGTCTGGAGACCCTAGAATTCACTATGGACGCCGACAGATATCGCAAGGCATACGAGCAGATCATCACCAACCAGGAATGGATCGGCGATGGTAAAGAGCATGTCTGCTCATTGTGGGAGAAGCTCATGCAAGCATACATCATTCCATACGCGCCGCGCGAGGTTAATCTTCCTTCGCCCGTGCGGAATCATCTTACGAACCTGGACTGCTCCTCCGCCCCACCTCCTCCAAGTGAACTCGACGACGCCGTCAGAATCGTCTACGAGCTCATGAACGATTCTGTACTTGTTCCCTTCATCGAGTCGGTCCAACCGGGCCATGGCGATTGCCGTACGGCGGAGGACGAAGGCCGACCTGGTCGCCTGCGTCTTCGGGCCGAGGGTGCTGGGGCTAGGTCAGAAGAGCCCGTGAAGTCTCCCAAGTTCCTACCCCAGCTGACTTTGGGTCGCAGTGGTGCCACAAGTCGATCGGCTTCTGCGTCTGGCGAACACGCTGAACGCGAGGGATTGACAGATGATAGTGGAAGCGCTGTTTCTCCTGGCACAGAGCCAATGACTCCTCCCACTACTCCGCCAACTTCAGACTGGACATTCAGTACCTCCCCAGGTGGACTTCAACGGGCATTGACCGCACATAATAACGGGTGGAAGAAGGTTGGCGCCAAGTTGGGTCTCCATCGCAAGTCACGCTCTAACCGACGAAACAACCCGACATCATCGGCCCCAATCACTGATGGGGACGTCACCATGGCTGAAGGCAGCCAGAGCAACCCTTTATAGGAACCAGAGGTCATGCCATCAACTACATCCACCACACCAGCGACATCATCTTCTCACCTCCCTCTGGACGGCTTCTCACGTGTCCGTCACCTTTTCAACCCGTGGGAGGAGCCTCATCCAGGCAAACGACTACCTCTCGCGGCGTCAGAGGCCGGCAGTGAAATTAAGAAGGTTGCTTTTGCTGGTCCACAACACATCAATAATGGTGGATGCAAAGGTGGCATGGCCGCAAAGGAATTCAGCGCTTACCACAACTCACGGCCCTGGATGGTACGACGCCCTATTCGAGTTCGGTCGCGAACCAACACTCCCGCTCCCTTGAGGATCACCACGGAGATATCCGAAGACGCCAAGTTGAAGCCCATTTCTGTTCAAAACATGGGAATCACTCCTACTGCGGCACCCACTCTGGCCATGCCTCCTGCTGTGCCAGAAGATTCTGGCGAACCGACAGGCAGAGGTGTTTGCGACGAGCTCACTACCAAGGAAGTCGATGCAAGCCAGCTGCCTCTACCCGTATCTCCGCCAATCGATTGTCGGTTCACGGACTTTTCGAACCTGCTGGGCATCAACGTTCATCCTCCACCAGAGGATGAGGCCGTTGCAATGGCTAACGACGAGCCTGTATCGTATTGCCATGCCGCACCCGACGAGGATCTCTATGGGTGGGATGCTGAGCTTGAGCGGCAAAGCCAGCAAAGCAGCCCTATTTTACCGTGCTCTTGCGACGATGATTACCAATACCGACGGACGAGCATGACGAAGCGTAGCCTCTTGCACCGAGTCTTCAGCATGGCAGGTTCACCCAAAGATATCAACATTGAGGTGCGCAGAGCTAGCAGCACCTCCAGCTAGCCTGTCACTTCCCTTTTTCAATTTCGTACTTCTGGTTTTTTTTTTTTTTAAGTGCTTGAAGCAAAGCCATGATACCAATTTTCTCTCCACCCTTCTCGGCGTTTGCCCAACATTCCCACTTCGACTTTGTATTCTGGCATCAAATTACAAATCTACCTGGCAGGAGAACATTATCCAACATGCATTATTGGGGAAGCAAAAGAGGAATGATAGACATAGGTTCAGGACATTTTGAAGTGGAGTTTTTGTGGCATTTATATTGCTCGGCTTGGAAAATCTCATGAAGCATTGCGAGGAGCTTTGGCGGGCAGCGGTCGATTTTGTTTTTGGTTAGTTCATTTTTTGGTTTGTTCATTTTCATCACAAGGCAAACTAGGGAAGCAAAAAGCATTGGTTGCGCAGGGCCCCAGAAGATGTGGCGGAAACTCACTGGGAGCATGTCGGCATAGGCATTTGGGATGACTGAGACGAGGCGATGACTGTATTTGTTAGATGTGCAATAACATCATGAACCAACAACAATCCTTTGCCTCGGCTTTGTGTGATTTTGTGATTGGGTATTGATCTCGCCTGGCTTAGTGGATGAAGACAGCTTGAACAATACGCATCTTCTTGTCGGCTCCCGCGGAAAAAACACGTGGGCCTCCCATGGGTAAATTACATCTAGTTCTACTGTGCTGCATGGAAGGCCTACTTCCTGCGCAGTTTGAGTGAATCCTTTCTTTACAGCTTGTAAGGAACTCAACCTCTTGTCCCATCAACATCTAGAAACCAAGCAGTTCTCTATGCCGATCTGGCTGCTGTTGTGCCCATCCAATGTGGCTTAGAACCGTTTGGTAGTGAGCAATGACTACTGAGAGAAGTGTGTCGGCCAGCCCACTCGGCCATGACCACCCCCTTTCTTCATCGTCAATCGCAAATGTGGCGCGTCAGGCTTGGTGGTATGGCTTTGCTAGAGACTCACTGCTCACTTTAGGCCAACTGAAAAACTGGCTTAGGTCTATGGCCCTGGAAGATGATTACAGCTGTCGAGAAACCAAGAGAGATTATCAGCATCACCACGGTATCTCGTGGAATGATGGAAGGTCTCCAGAAGTCCAAGATCGGCCAAAGTCTAACAAGCACATTCCAGAGTCTGCGACCCTCACTGGCTGGGACGATCTGAAGAGTCTCACAATGTCTCATGTCTATTATGTTTGAGCAGTCGCTTCAGCTAATGTACTTGTACTGCAAACGCCGTCCTGTACAGCTAGCTCATCGCAGAACACCCTCTTCTCTCTGCGGTGTTGGTCAACCTTTCTTCGCCCAAGTAGCCGGGTTGCCCCGTGAAGTAGTCACTGCCGATATGGATTACTTATCAATGCAAGTCTGATAGGGGGCCCGGAGTGGTTCTTCAACGAGCTTCTGCTCCCGTCGCCTCGCCTTCTATTGGTCTTCCAAGTTCTGTACCTCGTCTTGTTCATGCTGGGCAGGTGCTACTAGACGCCACATGCTCATTCCTTGTTCGCCTGTTTCTTCCGAGTCCACCGTGACGCCGAGTCGTCGGATGGCTTCGGGAGGAATCCCTCTAGCGGTGATGTTTGCTCTCTCACCAAGTCGAGGTGATCTTGAGGACGGACTTGATATACTCGGCAGAAAAGGTGGCTGCAGCCGACCAAGCTGCTGAGCTTCGGTCGAGTCACCTGGAGTATGCGACTGCCATGTGTCCGCTGCATCGTTACCGTGGAGTGTGATTTGTCGCAAAGTCTGTCTCGTTGATAGGTCGTTATGTCGGGAGATGACAGCAGCTGCCCGGGTTGACGGCGTTTCTGGTGACAAATGTGCAATGCGTCTTGGTTCACCATGTCGCAAGCCCCTTGGCAGCCGAACGACCTGTCAGATGGTCGGTGTCAGCGTAACCGCTGGGTGGTGCTATTCTCAGGAGCAACAACATACATTTCCAGGGTGGTTCGTTGCTGTTGTTACTCTCGCTGTCGCGGAGAAGGGCAGAGGTAGCGGTAGCCTCGGCATTTTTAGGCCCGGTAACCGGTCCTCGTGAGTATCTCCCATCGACTCGTTTCCGTCTTCTTCTCCTTCATCTTCGTTGTCAATAGAGGACGTGTCCATCTTTTCGCTGTCATCAACAATGGTTTTACCATCCTCATCGTCACCGTGATGGTCAAAGGCGGTTGGACTGTTATGTATCTCGATACTCTCTTGGCCGGGTAAAATACTGTCTGGCACGAAACGGAGTCGCAGCGGGTCATGTAGCAGGCCACTCGTAGGTGCCTGTCGGCTAGAATGGGCATCGTTACCTCGACCGCCGCGGTCTTGTGCCTTGCGTTGACGTTCGTATTGCTTGACCTCCGAGAGAGTTATGCGAATGACGGTAGGATCCAGGCGCATCATTGTTGATCTTCAGATGGAGTCGTCATTGGCGCTAGTGTAGCCCGACAAACTTTATGAAGTTCGTTTTGAAGAGTGCATTATTTCAATTCAGCGCGATGTATGTCTCCTCCAATGGGCAGCAGCCGGGCTCGCAGCGGCAAGTTGGAGAGAAGGCATCGCTCAGAGACTGCAGGAAGTTGCCAAGTACTCACCGAGGTACAAGTGCATTGCGAACAGCCATCGCGAGAAAGAGGTCACTCGGCATCCGACTAGCAGGAATCGTCCCCGGCGAGGCACGGGACGAAGCTGTCGTTCACGAGACCAACCTACTAACTACAATGGCTGGCTCTGATGAGTCTCAACGCGTTCAACTGCCAGGTGTACTCGCCCGTCCCCATCTACTTTGACAAACGACCACATACTACGAGAATACTTGCGTCTAAGCTACAGAGATCAACGGTCAACTGGATGAAATGCAGATGGAAGACACCCGTGACTTGGTGCCCCGCCAATGACCTACCTGTAGTCAAGGAAGCAGTCTCACTGTTTAACTATCGAGGCCGCGGGCAAGCGAATATTCGGAAAACGGGGGCCCATCATGTACTTAGTGTGGGTAGTCGCAAAGTCCCTGGATCTATCGTAGCGAGGCGTGCAATGCGACGATGGGCTGCAGCTGTAGCAACTGCGGGCAAGCGTGCGTCCTAGCTAGCCCTGATTCGGCATGGACGCGTTGGGGGCAAGGTATAAGTTTGCCTTGCGTGCCTCGTTTGCTGATACAAAGGTGACTGACTGATGCTAACTCTATGGTGAGAACTGGGCTGATGGGTGGAGACCAGAGTACCGACCTTTGCCCGTGTTCTCCATGCATTATAGAAGTCTCTTCTCAGACGGACTAAGAAGGTGCGCCCGTGCTCAAGATGATCTGTGATACGCCCAAACTCACTTGCCATCCTGAAGCTGTGCTTTCCCTCCTTGGCTCGACGGGTACGTACCCACTTCGTACAGACTGAGGTGCACTTTCAAAGCTGAGCGTCTCTCCGTAGCGCAACGACACTTCCTGAGGTGAGACCGGGGTACCGGGGGTAGGACGGCTCGCAAATGGAAGGCGGCATTCCCTTGTCTACCACGCATCCAACCCTCCAGGTCCAAACCTTTTCGTCGGCCCTTTCCTGCCTCTTACCCGTTGCTCGCGTTTTCCTTCCGTCTCTCAATTGACCTTGTAGGATACAAAAGGATAGCTCCTTCTTCTCTCGCCCACCTCTTACTGGCGGCGCCTTCCCTCCCTCTTCCTTACCACAGTTCATCCACTCTCCTGCCGCAGCTCGTCTAGTCTTTGTCTCTGGGACAACCTCAACTTCCTTCCTGCTACACATACCACCCTGAACTCTTACATGTCTGCTTCCTGCCATCTCGTCAGACGCCTTCACACTCTTCCATTAACTGCTCAGTTTCCCATCTGGTCCTGAACAGCTCCTTCCTCCTTTCAACCAACCTGCCCCAACCCACCATCACTCGGGTCTAGCCATCTCAACCTACCAATCACCATTCACTTTCCATCACCACCCAGTCGTCGCCATCTTGTTCACCTTTACAACCGCCTCGCCAAACGACTGTCCTCAAACTCTACCAGACAACACGTCCATCTAGCCACTGGACTTCGCGACCAACGTCTTGCTCAACTACTAACACATCGTGATTCGTAAAAGAGTTACTTGAATCTGAAGTCTGAACTTACCTTGCGCAGATCTAACTATACAGCCATGTCTCCTTTCGGTCACTCCTTCTCCGCTGGCTCCCCCGTCATGGCTCTTCCTCCTCAGCCCGCCCATCAAGCGAGCTTTAGCATGGACCCATTCTCTCCCCAAGCCACACCCTTTGGCCAGCCCGCCGCCTTCCAACGCTGCCCTGCACCGCCGGCAATGCCCGCCGGGAGCCTTCGAGTCGCTGGTCGCAAACGTTCGCGCGACGAGGCTGCCCCCAACCTGGTGACCGACGAGCCCGAACACCATACCGCACCCAAAGAACCCGAAGAAGAGTGGGAGTACGGCCCTGGTATGGTTCTCATCAAGAAGGGTAGCTACGTCGCGGATGCTGGCAGTCAATCTGGCACCTGGGTCGAAGAGAAGGCTGCGCAAGATGACGCTCGCAAAACACAAGAGGCCATCACACGTCTCCACGAGCAGCAGGAACGCCCATCTCTACGCAGCAACAAATCCCAACGCCTCACCCAGGCCGTCATGCCAAATCTCCATGCAGCCCAGCCAGCTACGGCATCCACATCCACATCTCTTTCATCAGAGAGCTCTGCGCAACCAATCGTCGACCAATTCACCCTTCACCTCGGCATTGGCTGGAGACGCATCAGCGAAGACCAACACATCCAAGCCGCGGCGCGCGGCTGGGCCCGATTTATTGAGAACCACTACCCTGTTTCCAACGCCATTATCCGGCTGGAGAGCAAGGGACTACAATCGTACCTCGTCGAAGCCGCGGAAGGTTTCTTCCTCTTCGCAGAGAACCTCCGTCAAGGCCGCTTTGTTAGCAGAGACGTCGAGGGCGCTATGCGAAATCTCCAGTGCTCGCCTCCCACCTTTGATGGTCAAGAGACATTGCTTGCGACCGAGTCTCCCGCAGCAGTAGAACCAGCCAACATGATGGAGGCTGACAGCAATATGGTCATGTAAAGCGGCCACGCGATAAACAACGGCGCGTTCGGCTTTGTTTCATTTTCTTTGGAATCTCATTACAAAACGGCAAGGTCAGGGGAGGCGCAATGGTTTTTTTCTCAAGAGGTTCGCTTGGTCGGGTCGGGTTGGGTGGGTTGAGTACCTGACTGAGGGAGGATACATCATATTATCACGGCACACAAACGATGGCCGGCCAGCGGAGAAAATAATTTCTTGGTCTGGGCACATCATCAACTGTCGAAACCGATCTTGACAGACTGGTCTGGTCTCTGCTTATTTCGCGTTTAGCTACCGCATTGGAGATGCCGATATGCGATATCAGCAAGCTTCAAGATTATCAAAAGAAATATGACTAAATCTAAACAGTGGCATTTACTCGCAAACCCAACGTCTTGAATCCATCTTCCTGGCCTAAAGCACATCTTGCTTGGTATTTGGCGGTGAAAGCATGGCCTTCACGCTTTAGTATCAAGGTCGACTAAGCTGAGGTACGGGGTAATTTTTCTCGGAACGCGGTTTGCTGCGTTGCCGAGGCGTCCAAGACCGTTTGCAAGACAAGAAAACCTTGATAGCGTTCATTGGCCGATGCAAACCCGAGTCAAGAGTCTTGGAGCGAGTGGCCTTGGATAAGACGAGACAAAGTGGACGGGCCTGCTAACCTACCTTGGTCTGCGATGGTACGACGGACAGGTATGTGGGTGTAAGTGCCAAATCCGTCATCTTGTGTGACAGGTTGGACAGTCAGCGCCGGTAGAGCCCAGTGCGAGCGAAGCAAAGCGATGCTGGCTGTCTGTCGGCTGGGGCACGAGACTCAGCTCGATACATTATGAGGGACGGAGGGACGGAGGGGAGCATCGACCTCCGCCCCCCAGGTGAGTGAATGAGACCGTGAACGGTTAGTTGAGACCCTGGGCACACTGCACTGGCATAGGTACTCAGAAAGGGGGACACGACTCACGAGTCCAACGAGGGTCACGGGTGGAAGAGCGGCAAGTTCCAGCAGCTTGCAGGGCGCGCCAGAACAGAAATGGGGTCGGCAGAGTGATCAGTGAAGCACACCTTAGGATTCGAGGAGTTGAGTGGTGGTCGCTTACTGGTTGAATCGGCTGATGGTGGGAACCATTGAACGACCGGGGAACCTCCAGCAGGAGCTAGGTACCTTGTCTCTCGCTCGCTCGCGCGCCCGTCAAGCTGCTGCTTTTTGCCTCCGAAGTTCCATTGTGACACTGAGAGGGCCGCACGGAGGTTTGCGAGGAGCGGGCAACGGTGCAACACAGATTGAAGTTGTTCCATTGGCCACGGATTTCTGCTTCTCATTGGTGTCTCGAGGACAGAAAGATGGAGCAATTTTTGCTGTGGATCGGTGGAGCATTGAGCACGCATGTGGCCAATGAAATGGCTGATGAGAGATGGCGGAAGTAGGAGATGACGGAATACTTTGATCGACATGCAAGCTCGAGTGCGGTTCGGGGTACCCGGCTATTGCCACGGTTGTGGCCAATCACGAGCCCTCCACTAAAGGCTCCAGACGAGCCGCCAAAATCCGGAGGCTGGCTAGTAGGACCGGGATTGGAAGGAAGAAAGATTACTGCTCTATGTGTCTCACGTGACGAGGGTGCTCCGATTAATTCGAGATCGGACCTCTTTTCCCCACACCTAGTCACGTTCTGGCTTTTCCTCCACCTGACCTTCCATTGGCTGAGGACGATTTGCAGGCTGTTGCGAGCCTGCCACTGCGGGCAAGCAAGAGGAAGAAATGTCGTGACCTGGCAGCTCCAGGGTGGCCAAGGTGAGGTGCATGTGGGAAAAGCACGGGAGGTGGCCCCCGTCTACCAGTGCCAGTGAGCGAGTCTGCGAAGTCTGCCTTGCCAGCATGCACGATGATGCCCCCTGCATCTCCTCGCCTCATGAGGGTATTCAAGCAACCTATGGTTTGGCGACGATGAAAGGAGGCGAGTGGCCTGCACCCACTATCGGCAAGCGCAAGCTCGGAGGGAGGCACCGGAGGCAACTTTTAATCCATCGTCGTCCTATGGAGGCAGGCACACTGCTGGGATAGCTGGGAAGGCCTGGGAAGATTTCTTCATGTCTTTCCTTTACAAGTATCAGGGCGGATTGTCGCTCCCCGCTCATTGGTACGTTGACAGTTGACTCAACCTTTACCCGTCAACTGCCACCCATCGTCCCGACTTTACTTGTTTTGCTTACCTTAGGGTGCCTACGTTTTTTGGTTGGGTGGTAGGTTAAAACTCATGTGTGCCTCAGAACCTCTTTGCCTCTATGAAATGATATCCTGAGCGCTTCCAGGTTCGTCTCCCACTTCCAGGTCAACCCAGAGCAGCCTGTCCCATTGTGCCTGTCTTCGCCATCTCATTGGCAACTGCATAACGCAGAGCTTGCTCACCCTGTCCCTGTCCCACTTCTCGTCGCCGGCGCCGTCGCAATATCCTGGTTCACGCTTCACTCTTTGGCTCTACGCGTCCACACGTCTACTGCGTACGGATACAGCTGTTTTCTCTTTCTGGCTCTGGACCGACCCTCATTGGGCCTATGCTGGTGCTGGCTCTTCTCCCATCTTTGACATCTTCTGTCCGGTCTTGAATTTTGTCGCCAGCAGTCGCATCACGAGGTGCTCGCTACCTTATCGGTACCAAATAGCGTCAAGACCCCTCCCCCCGAGTCACCAGGGTCTCAGACTCTTGCCTGCTCGTCTTGCTTCTTGATTTCTCCATCTCGGTCTTCCTCGTGCTGATTACCTCACCAGCCACCCCAAGACCCCATTCGACCAGCAACAAATCAACACATCTATCCGTACAGCTTGACTAGACTCGCGTCTTTCCTCTATTCTCTTCGCCTCCGCGTAGATATTCTTGGCATCGCCTTTGCCTTGCTCCATCACCACACACTGCATTTCTAGCTCCCGCCATCAGAGCTATTTGATCTTGTCACCGGCGCACGCACGCTCGCACACTCCTCCCCCGCGCATCGCGACACGAACAAATCCAGCCGCCCATCCGCTCCCCGCTTCTTCACCTTTTCTTGGTGCAAGTAGTCTCGTAGCTCGTAGCTTAGGAGCTCCATTGTTCTCAGCGCCTCGGCTCCGTTCTGTCTCACTCCCGCACGCCTTCGTCAGTGTTACTCTTGTGCGCCCAGCAACGCAGAGTCGCCGCCCAAAACCTTGAGCCCGTCAACAAGCTTCCCCGTCTCACAGAAGTGGTCAACCTTGGTTCATCTTTCCGGCCGACGACTCTCCGCCACTTGTGCGCGCTTCTTGCGCGCCCGTTGTGTCGCATCTTCGTTTCCTGCTTGTCCACCTACAGGGACCCCCAGTGCGCGCGTTCCTCCATGTCCGAGCCGCCGTAGGCCGTCAGTCCCTCCTCCGACCTTCGCAGCTTCGGTCTCGATAGAGTCGATACGCCTTCTTCATGGTCTCGCAGCCCGATTCCGCGTCCTCCCTCACCCTGCGAGGCCCCTCCTCGGTCGTTTCGCGTCCTTCACTATCTCGCACGAAGCGATACAACAGGTCTCATGTCGGCGGTTCATCCTATATCTCCCAGAATGAGTTTCCCGTCTTCAACAATTCGGGCGATGTCGAGATTATAGTCAAGGCCGGTGGCCACCAAAACCGTTATCTGCTGCATCGTCATACCCTCACGCAATGCTCCGGTTTCTTCGAGGCCAGCACTAGTCTTGAGTGGTCCAAAGCAGTTTCGGATGGCGCCTCGAATGACTTGCCTCGTATTGGCGACGGCTCCTCAGCCGACTCTTACAACCCTCTGCCTTCCAGCAGGGCCTTGACTACTTCATCTACACCACCAAGGAAACGTTGGCGCTATGAATTGGATCCAGGCACGGGGGATGGCGATATACCAATGCTGGTACAAAAGGATGAAGATGGCTCAAAGGGTTTGAGCGCGGGCAACTCTGGGTCTCTATTTGGCTCTGGTGGCAGCGCGGTCAACGGCGACCAGCCCGTGTCGTATTCGCGAAGCAAGACATCGGGACATTCCCACTCCTCGTCGGCGCACTCGAATCATAACTTCTTCCGCTCCGTCGCCAATCTGAGCCTCGTGCCTAGCTCGACGACGACGGCAACAAGCCAGCCGCTTTCGCAGGCCGATCAAGATCTCCTCCGCGACTACGACAACCTCTTCCGCATTTTCTACAACCACTCCCCGATTCTCGACGGTGTCAATATTGCAGATGCTTACGTTCAATGCAAATCTCTCATCACCTTGGCGGACCTATATGACGCATTGGCCGTGGTTGGCCCCAGGGTTGACCACCATCTGCTTCAATTTCAGTCACGGCTCTGGAAGCAGATTGCCAAGTATCCCATCTCATACCTACGTCTTGGCTACCTTGCCCGCAGTAGAGTCATCTTTCAGGAGGCCTTGATTCATGTGGTCGGGCAATGGCCGGCAGGAGAACGTAGCCTGCGTGCTGCGCTCCCTGACATCGTTCTAGACATAATTGAAGACAAGGTCGACGAGCTAGAAGAGGTGGTCAGCCGTGTCGAAGGCCGTCTCTTCCGACTGAGCTTGATGACGGCGAGGGGCGAGCGTGTCACACCTCAGAACAACTATCTCGACTGGCTAGCCGTTAGCCTGTTTCGACAATGGCTGGCAGACAACACCAGTCCTCCGCCCCCAGACCGTCGACTACAAAGCTCTCGCGACGGTCGGAACGGAAACAACCAGCAACTGGCCCTCCCCGCTGCTGTTCCGCCGTTGGCCACGGTCGGCCGCACATATCGCACTCTCGGCGCCTCCTCAGCGGCTTACCTGGGCCACGATGAGTGCAAGCGGTTCTTAAAATTGACGCCTGAGCTGTATAGCCGGGACAATCTCCGACGCTTTGAGAAGCGCATCGACGAGCTGAAGCTGATGGCTCGCGACATTGTCCGGCCTTTGATGGGCAGTGGTTTAGAGCTGGATATCAACAGCGGAAGGGCCGCCGATGGAATTGGCTACCTCACGTGCATAACCGTGGGGGATCGTGACCTTCCTTGGCATGGTGAGCATTGATACGAAAAAAATGGACTCAAATGCCCGGCCAATTTACGGCTGCAGAACGAGATGAAGAAGCATACTGGTTATTCTTCCGACTAATGATGAACGAATTTACTGGCGGATTTTGATCTTATTTTTTGGATTATTTTTTGAGTTGGCAATGTTTGACGGATACAGCCTGGGATACCCATTGACGAAACTCGCGTCGTGCATCGACACTGCAAAGAAGGCCTGGATTCAGGGAGGCATATAGCAATAGATTTCAGACATAAGCCATTGTCGTTATTGGAATAAGACTTGAATGCGCTTGATGGTAGTGGTACAGAGTGGTACAACGGGGGGATATCGTTAGTCGTCGTCTCCTGTGAGATCTATAATGGAAACTTCGCTCTGCCTCCATTCGCCATCCTTTGTCAAGCGCTCCGATGCCATCGTCGCCTTCGTTCGGGCTACCCATTCCCCGTCACTCACTTCGACCACCCGGAAAAATCCACTGACGCTTGTCTGTGGCACCATGACTTTTTTCCTGGCCTCCGTTGAGGTGGTTTTTACAATGGGTTTCGGCGCAAACGCATCGTCTGGTTCTAGCCAGGAGGAAGTTGTGACTTTGGTGGTTCGGAAACCACGGAAGCCGGCACCAGCAGCTTCCTTCGGTGCAGCGGGTTTGACCTTGGCAGTCTGGCTGACGGTGATGGACCTGCCAAGGCGGCCACCGCTCTGGACACTCTTTGGCTGCCTATCATGGTTGGTTTCCTGATCCGCCGTTGGCCGCGTGGTGTTGCCAGTCACAAACGATTCCATACGTGTCTGCTTCAGCCCCCGCTGACTCTTGGACAGAGTTGTCGCCAGTCGTATTGGTGACGAACCTTTTATCGACCCCCGATGTTTCCCAGGGCTTTGGGAAAGACGACGAGGTGCTGATGTAGACATGGTAGGCGGATTGGGCGCGGGCTCGACGAAAGAATCTTCGTCAAGACCTGATAGGTCGATAATGGTATGCTGAGGTGTTGGTGGACTCGCCGGGCTCGACGGGCTCAGCGGGCTCAGCGGGATTTTCAGCGACGGAAAAGGAGGCGCAGGCGAAGCGCAGACGGGGCTAGATGACAACAGAATCGGCTCTGCGGGCTGCCGAGGCTCGGTGATCCTAGGCATATGTTGTGAGCCAGCGTATGCCCGGGGGTTACTGTGAGCGGTTGGTTCTGCGGTGGCAGACACTTTCCCGTTGGACCTGGATTGCTTACTTCGGTTGATTGGTCTCGGCAAGGGTTTCGGACGTTGTGAGGAGGAGGAGGCCGGAAACGCAGCCGCAATCTTTGTTGAATCAGGCCTAAGAATAGTTGGTCGAGGGAGTTGTGGTGGGAGGACATCTTCGTCATCTACTTGATGTTGCGATATTGCGCCGCCAGTCTTTGCTGATTGTCTTGTAGTTGTGCCCTTTGTGATTTGCATCCACTTATCAAGCGCGCCGTGTTCGGCTGGGACGGCTTTGGCAGGCTTCCTCTTGCTGACGCCCTTGCTGCTTGTGTTCTTGGGCTTTGTAGACGCCTTCGTAGCCTTGGTGCGCTGTTTCTCTTCCCAATCTTCGACAGCCAGAGGTGCGCCTAGCTTGACGAGCGACTCGGGCAGCCAGATCATCTGGGCGGCATATGGGTCGAATGTACTCTTTGGCACAGCCTGGCTGCTCGCTGGCACTCCCTCGCCGTCAATAGCAGCTTCGAATTCCTCGTCGCTATTGAGTCCGAGACCCTGGCGATCAAAGGGCACTTCGTCGGCTTCGTCTATCTCTTGTGAAAGGTCTAGACCGACTATATCGGTCGGAGTATGTGCTACGCGCAGCTCTGGAATACCATCGGTGCTGTGATGGCTTCGTATCCCGGCGATACGATTGATCATTTTCGATTCTTCCTTCTCCATCTCCTCGGCCGTCTGGTAGCTTGCTCGGTCGGAAAGGTGCCTCTCCAGTAACTTGTGGACGAGTAACGCAGGTGACAGGACTCGCGTGAGTTTGATGGCACCGATTTTATTCACCCAGTCAAGCGTCTCATCGGCAAAGTACCGGAGACCTAGCACATCTATCGGGCGACTCCAATTGAGACCCGTCTTCAACCTGTCGATAGTGGTGGCACTTGAGACGACCGGGTGCGTATAATACCTGAGTACTTGGCGATCTGGAAACTCGTCCGGTATAGATAGAGCTTTGTGCCGTACTCTGAAGAAGCCGCTCTCGTTCGTACGTAATTCGTGTCGTAACGTCCTCCTCCAGTCATCAAATTGGTCATCGTCTTCGATCTTCAAGCGGCATAGCGACTTGCCGAACCCAGCTTTCGCCGCCTCACATGCAACTTTGGGACCGCATCCTGGTACACCTTCCGGTATGTAGTCGCCTCCACTCATCAGTGCGACTAACACCATACCCTCTCGATCCAGACCCGTCTCGGCAGACAATAGATCATCGACCTCGTACATGCTAACGTGGGTGGGCGTCTTGGCTCCGCGGGTCCCCTCTGCTGACCAGTTTCGAAGACTTCGGGTGCAGCCGAACATGATTGTGTCGACATCCTCGCTCAAAACTGCGTCGACGATACTCCGCTGCTGTAAGAGAGCGCATTCGGCTTCTGCCTCGCCGGGCGCGTCATGAACTGGGAATCCGAATAGACGAATGACTCTCTTCGCCATGGCTATTGCAACGCCATCTCCTTTACCGGAGCGCTTATTGCGCTTGAAAGCCGGCTTGTGAGGGCCATCAAATACAAAAATGGGGTGTATACCAAGACTAAGTAGTCGCACCAAGCGATAGAAAAGAGTCCTGATTGCAGGGTTTGTCCCACCTGGTGAAATCTGTCAGCTCTGAAGCGGCCAAATTGAACGTGGATTTGCCGCTACCTCGTGCGGCTTGTGTTTGGAATTGCCAGATGGCAATATCAATGGCAATCCGTAACGGCCGGCCTGTATTTTCAAGTTTCTCTGTAGCAAGTTTGGCAAGAGACACTCTTCTGCCGGGGCCGAGTTCACGGTAAATTCTGTGGTTGTCATGTGAGTGGGACCTCGCTATCATGATAAGAAGAGGACAGGAGTGGTGGTAAGTACCCTTTGATTCCCATTGCAAATCTCCAATGGCTCTGATCTCAAGAATACCAAGGCAAGAAACTAATGCAGGGAAGAAAGATTAGATCTGCGGGTTGAGTGTAGATGCAGAATTCCATCCAAAGGGGCGGAGGGATATTGGGGGGCGAAATGCATCAAGTCGTTGATGCGTCGATGATTCGAACAGCCAAAAAGAACAACGTTGTGCTCGAAATGAAAGAGTTCAAAATTGAAGTGCAACGAGCCTCCCAAAGATTTGCTATGCGCGAATCATTATGCTCAACAACTCATACACAAGTCGTATCCAATGATTTTCTCAATGCTCCGTCTGTCTGGCGAGAGATAGGTGCCTTTCAGCGTGAGAGATGTTGATTGACGGTTGATAGTTGGCTCACCACAGAAAGAGATGGTTACCGGGACTACGGACGGTGCCACCCACCTCAATGACATCTGCACGACCTTACATGTATGTAGCGACGGTTCTCCACTTTATTTCAGAGTAAAGCGCCAGCAACAGTGCTCCACAGTGATTAACCCGTTTTCGGCCACAGGTACCTTACCTCAGAGGCCTAATCGACAAGCTCTACCTCAAACCTCCAGTCTCACGGGCTCTCTTGACAATTACACTTGGACTGGGACCAATTCCTCAATCGCGCGTAAACAACACCAGAAGACATACCAGATTGCTAGCAAACGACCCGGCGTGCTTTCCGTTGCAGGCGTTTACAACTTCACAACGGGCAACCTCTGACAACCGAACACGCGGGGCATGGCTTGCTAAACCGGGGCGCAACGCTCTCAACACCACGAATATCTCGTCTCTCTACTACTTCCTACAAGATGTCATCCTCCGCAGCACCGAGCCTCGCCCACCGATCCATTGCCAACATCCGAACCGAGACGGGTTCTGGCATCAGCGGCGGCCCTGCAAGTCCACACACCCCTTCTCGCAACATCTCTTCAACATTTGGCTCCCCGTCCAGTCTACGCGCCGAGGAAGACATCATCGTCATAGAGCTGGGCTCTCGCTTCATTAAACTCGGGTTCGCCGGAGAGCCAGCACCGAAGGCCGTGCTATCCCTAGGTCCTGAACAACTACGCCGCGTAGGCGACTTCCGCACGTGGGACCCAGATCACAAGGATGATTGGCGTCGTCGTCCAACGGGCAAGACTTGGGGAGACGACCATGAGCTATGGCAATATGATGTGCGGACCGTTGACTTGGGGCTTGTTGAGGATAAAATAGACCGAGCTGTTCGGGAAGCTTTGAACAAGTGACGCATCCCCGCCGCCTAGGAGTCTATTACAGCATCACTAATGTTTGTCGTCCAGGTTCCTTCTTATCGATTCAAGGCCGCGAAGAACCTCTCTTGTCCTGTCCTCGTCGATACCTCTGCCATTACTGTCAACCACCCTCGATGTTTTTTTCCACCGCTTTCAGGCACCGATTGTATCTTTGATGTCATCTGCAGTCACGTCGGTTGTGGGAGCTGGCACTCGGTCAGCACTGGTCGTGGATCTTGGCTGGGCTGAGACCAGTGTGACGAGCGTCTACGAATACCGCGAGATCCGCACCACAAGAACTACCCGCGCAGGCAAGATGCTGGTCAACGAGACACACAATATGTTGCAAGATGCACTATCGACTTCATCAGCGCACTCGCAGAAGACCCGTCGGGAAAGGGAACAAGGGCGGCACTCTCTGAGTTTTGTGGAGTGCGAAGAAGTCGCCTGTCGCCTTGTCTGGTGTCGCCAAGTCAAGCGTGGCGATCTCCCAAGTATCAGGCGGCCGGAGCAACAGCAACCTGGAGGAGAGGCATTGCCTACGGTCGAGGAGCAGGACGAATCCCCGCCAACTTCTCCCATCGAAGAAGAGCGGTCTGACAGCAATGTCGAGGTTTTGATCCATTCCGTGGAACCAGCGGAGAACCTGACTTTACCATTCCAACAACTGTCCGAGCCGTGCGAAAGCACCTACTTTGCGCCACACTACTCACGTAGTAGCTTCGATGATGACGAGCTCCCTATTCATCACCTTATTTACCAACACCTAGTCCAGCTTCCGATTGATGCTCGAGCAGTGTGCATGTCGCGCATTGTATTCATTGGCGGCTGTTCTAGAGTCATAGGCTTGAAGCGGAGGATATTCGACGAGCTGTCGAAACTCGTCCACGAGCGTGGTTGGGACCCCGTTCAGGGGCGTGCACCAAAGCAGTACGAGAACAATGCGTTGCTGAAGAGAGGCAGCCGACGTGCAACCGAAGGTCCTACAGAGATTGAGCCGCCCGCAAGGGAGACGGAAGAACGTAGAGTTACGGGCGAAGATGAGCCTCGAAGCGCAGCGGATGTCATTGAGGACTCCTTGAGGAAGCGAGATAGCCACCATCCTAAAATTCAAGGCACCCTTCGACCTCTGGGTTCTCTCGGGCCGTGGGGAGGAGCCAGCTTGGCATGCCAGCTCAAAGTTATGGCGATGGCTAATATTGACCGCGAGCTGTGGCTGCAACAAGGAGTCAACGGGGCTTCACGGCCGAGTGAAGTTGACGTCAAGGCTCAGCAGCGGCAGAGCATGGGACCGGGTGGACTGATGCGAGGAGCTGGAGGTCAATCGAACTGGACGTTGGGGGCATGGGGAACTTTATAGCGAGGCGGGTGCAGAGATTTGCCTACCGACATGTGAAAATGCATTGATACCCCGGAGACCTGCTGGCCTTCGAAATATGAAGAAAAGAATGTACGATCAAACTACATAATCATACTCTGTCCAACGCTCGTCTTTTCATTAGAGTGAGCGCGACTGTAGTCAGTTGTGAAGCTGAAGATGCACTTAATTGGGTGAACGGCCCAGTGAAACCCCTGCTATTATGCTTGTAAGCGGTTCATACAGTTATCACGCCGCCTTCGTATCAGATCATCGCACTCCCTCAGAATACTCATTGAGAGGGATACATTGAATTCCAACCTCTCAGTTGCCAGACTTCAAAATGGGGAGAGATCCGACAAGTCTCTTGCGCAGTTCACTAGGGGCAGCAAGGAGGCGCCTCCTACACACCTCACCACCCACGCCGCGCATCATTAGCAGAGTGAATTGTTTGGCCTCACACTCACTCCAACATCGCCGTGCCTTTGCAGACGTCAAGCGGCCCTCGACCGCGCCAAAACCCATCATCGACATCAGACATATCAGGGAGAACCCGGAACTACACGAGCAAAATTGTCTCGAGCGCAACTACGTCCAACAGAGCAAGAGCCCCGCCCGCATCAATGAAATTTTTGCGCAATGGCAGGCCCTGCAAAAGGACAGCCGCGCCGTTCGCGAGAGGTCGAACCTGTTGCGCCGCCAGATCGCCAACCCGGCATCCACCAGCGGCGACGACAATGCCGAATTTAACGAGATCCGGAGCAAGACCCGCGACGAGCTGCTGGACGAGGCCCGCGTGCTCAAGCAGAAGCTCGCGGCCGTGGAGCAGGACGAGGCCAAGCTCGTCGAGGAGATGGAAGGGCTCGCCCTCGCCATCCCCAACCTCACCAGCGACGTCACCCCCGTCGGCGACGAGCCGCGGCTTTTGAGTTACATCAACGAGCACCCCCACGAGACGCCCAGCGCCTCGGACAAGGTGTGGCGGTCCCACGCCCACATCGGCTCGGAGCTGGGCCTCCTCGACTTCGCCGGCGCGGGCACCGTCTCGGGATGGGGCTGGTACTACCTCCTCGACGAGGCCGCGCAGCTGGAGCAGGCCCTCGTGCAGTACGCCCTCGCCGTCGCCACGCGGCACGGCTGGCGCCAGGTCGCACCGCCCAGCGTCGTCTACAGCCACGTTGCCGCCGCCTGCGGCTTCCAGCCGCGCGACCAAAACGGCGAGCAGCAGATCTACAGCCTCGCGCAGTCCGCCGCCGACGCCGAGCGCGGCAAGCCAGAGCTCTCCCTCGCCGGCACGTCAGAGATCCCGCTGGCCGGCATGAAGGCCGAGACTACCCTCGACGCCACGGAGCTGCCCGCGAAACGCGTTGCCGTCTCCCGGTGCTACCGCGCCGAGGCCGGCGCGCGCGGCGCGAGCACAAAGGGCCTCTACCGCGTCCACGAGTTTACCAAGGTCGAAATGTTCGCCTGGACCGCGCCCGACGCCGACGAGACGGTCGACGTCTTTGAGGAGATGCTCGACATCCAGACCGAGATCCTCGGGTCCCTGGGCTTGCACTGCCGCGTCCTCGAGATGCCGACCGCCGACCTCGGCGCCTCCGCCGTACGCAAGTGCGACATTGAGGCCTTCTTCCCGTCTCGCCAGGAGCAGAACGATGGCTGGGGCGAGGTCACGTCCGCCAGCATCTGCACCGACTACCAGACGCGCAGGCTCGCCACGCGGGCAAAGATTGACGGCAAGCTCACCTTCCCCTGGACCGTCAACGGCACGGCTCTCGCCGTCCCGAGAGTGCTGGCTGCGCTCCTGGAGGCCGGATGGAACGAGCAGGAAATGTCCGTCTCCATTCCGGCTTGCCTGCAGCCGTGGATGGAAGGAAAGGAAAAGATTGTTCGGAAGACTATCTCATAGCACATGGATACTTTACACAGTCCTACCTGACTTGGACTGAGGACACGGACATGGTGTCTTTTGTAACAACACTTATATTCGCACTTCTGTACATGAGCATTGCCACGTGCATCTAGCGCGTCTCGAAAAAAACCAAAGTCGAGGAGGCATGGCACGGTAGGCCATCAAAAGCATGTTCATCATGTGGCAGAGTCGTAGGGAGGTGATAATTCTGTACTTTACTACGTCCAACACACTACCTACAATACTAAACATCAACTGGACTCATACCAGCACTACCAATTTCAGACAAAAGAGAAAGGAAACCCAATAACTCCATTTTGATACAAACTACCGTTCATCCCAGGTGACGCCGACCCAGCAGGCTCATGCGTTATTCAATACTCGTCAATATGTCCATATGAAAAAACAACTTCTCAAAAGACACCAATTTCGTTGCCCTAGGCCACGACTTCATTGTTCAGAGTTTCTTGACTGAGGTCGGAGCCAAGGTCTGAACTAACATTGGAACTGACGTTTGAGCTCACGACACTCTCAGTCCACTCGCTTTGGAGGTCACTCTGCAAATCGCTGTGGTTGTCGTCGTAATAGTCCGAATAATCGCCGTCGCCGGTGTAGTTTTCGGTACTCTCTGTCACGACCGTTGTACCGCGGCTACCACGGCTCATACGACTGCCATGACTACTGCGACGCAACGTCTCGGTATCACTGGGATCATCGGCCCCAGCTGGTTCTTCGTGCATAACAGGCGTGGAACTAGGCATGTTCTCCTCCTCCGTCTCCTTCAAAGAAATATTCTCCTTGTCGAGATCTCCGTAGCCCTTCGAGAAGCCTCCAGCCCAACTGGACTTGCGATGACCACGAGCACCGGCAGTCCTGACGCTCTGGCTGCGCTGAACTCCACCGGTTGGCACGTTGTTCGTGATCTGGCTCAGGGATAAGATACGGCGAGCAGCGCCTGCTTGCGACGGAGGCTTCAGGTTTCGTTTCGCGGAAAGGGCCAAGTTCACAGCAGGAGACGCAGGCTTCTCGGGGACTTCATTCTCCTGACCCGGCTTCTGGTCCCGGACACGCTTACGGCTCATAGCGTCGCGCCCTTTGGTTGCCTTTGACATCAGCAGTACGCGGGAATGGTCCATAACCCCTTCTAGAATGCGGCGCTCCAAACCCTCGGCACGAGATTCCATGTCGTGAAGCTCGTCCCGACGGATATGCAGTGCAGTCTCGAGAGACGAGACATCGCCCGTCAGTCTTGTCTTTTGCCGGATGAGACTTTCTTGCTCCGTCCGAAGCCCGAGAACAGAAGCCCTGAGTCTCTCTTCCTCTTGCTTCAGATCCAGCAGACTAGCTTCGATCTGCTCCTTGAGAGCAAGCTTGCGCTCGAGATCAATGTTCACTTCCTGGAGAAACTGCTCTCTGTCGTCTTCCTCCTCTTTGATCTTCTTGGTCTGGCTTGCAAGGAAGAGCGAGATGTCCGTGGCTGTTTGGATTACTTGCTGATGGACCTTTTCAAGAGTGTCGAGCTGACCAAACGCCTTCTCAGCAGCATGACTATGATCAACGAGCTCGTCCAGCTTGACGTGAACGGCGGCATCGTCGTACTTGTCAGTAGGGATCAATGCCTGCTGCTCGGCAAGCTTGTCCAGCTTGTCTTGCAGGGCTGCGTCGTCGTACTTCTCAGTCGGAATCAGCAGCTGCTGTTCAGCCAGAACTCCGAGCTGTTCCCGAATTATTGTGTCATCGTACTTCTCGGTTGGGATCAACAATTGCTGTTCAGCAAGCTTGTCCAGCTTCTCGTGCACTGGCGTATCGTCGTACTTCTCCGTAGGGATCAATGACTGTCCACAGGCAAGCATGTCGAGCTTCTCTTGAACTGCCGCATCGTCGTACTTCTCGGTCGGAAGCAGAGACTGGTACTCAGCGATCCTGTCCAGCTTTTCCTGGACCACTGTGTCGTCGTACTTCTCGGTCGGGATCAACAGCTGCTGTTCAGAGAGCTTGTCAAGCTTCTCATGCACCGGCGCGTCATCGTACTTCTCAACAGGCACCTGAGAGTGCTCCACAAGCATGTCGAGTTTCTCGTGAACGGGCGCGTCGTCATACTTCTCCACAGGTATCTGAGAGTGCTCCACGAGTTTGTCAAGTTTCTCATGGACCGGCGCGTCGTCGTACTTCTCGGTCGGGATCAACAGCTGCTGTTCAACGAGCTTGTCAAGTTTCTCGTGGACCGGCGCATCATCGTACTTTTCGACTGGTACTTGAGAGTGCTCTACAAGCTTGTCGAGCTTCTCATGAACGGGCGTGTCGTCGTATTTCTCTGCCGGAGTGGAAACATGCTCCACGATCTTGTCAAGCTTCTCGTGTACTGGCGCGTCATCGTACTTCTCAGCAGGAACAGAAGCATGTTCAACGAGCTTGTCAAGCTTTTCATGAACACCTGCATCATCGTACTTTTCGACTGGAACCTCGGAATGCTCGATCAATTTGGTAAGCTTCTCCAGAACGACAGTGTCGTCATACTTGTCTGGGATTGGTGGCAGAGCGAGCTCGACTGGCTTGGCATCCTCAATTGTCTTCTGAATATCATTCGTTGACGTCTTGGCGTAATCGTAATGTTGGCCAACGATAAGCAAGACATCTTTGATCGATTCCAAGATCTGAGGTTGAGATTCAACAAGCTGTCCCTGAATGATTTCGACGGCGTCGACAGCTTGCTTCAGGTGATCCCGAGTTTGCTGGTGATCGGCCTTCCCATCTGTGTGGTTCTCCTCAGACTTGGTCATGAGATCCTCAACTCTGGTGAATACGGTCTTGGACGCCTCCTCCATCTTCTCCATCGAGTCGGTAACAGCAGCACCAAGTGTGTCCACGAGAGACTTGAGCTCTTCCGCAACAGCCTTGGTACCCAGGACTGCCTCTTCGGTGCTGGCATCTCTTGCCTCCCCAGCTTTGGCGCGGTCGTCAAGGGCAACGTGAAACTCGTCGTACTTGGTCATCAACTCCGTGACCTTCTCCTCAATCTTGGCGCTCAAGGCATCAGTAGTCTGCTGGAACTTCTCGTCTGACTCCAGCTTAGCACCGACTACGGCGGCCTTGGACTCCTCGAACTCTAGCTTCATCGTATCGGAGAGGTCCTTCAGGTCTTGGTTGACGGAAGCGTTGTTCTCCACTGCTGTCGACACACCCTCGAGCAACTTTGAGAGGCTCTCGACTCCAGTGGCACCCTCTTCGAGTTTACCCTTGACCAAACCCTGGAACTCCTCGAGGAAGGTCTTGACTTCAGTCACACGTTCGCTAACGCCAACGATCTCGGCTTGGCGCTCCTCGCTTCCCTTGTCGTGCGACTCGACCAGGGAGTCAAGTCGTGTCTTGAGCTCTTCGAGTGGAGCCTTGAGCTCCTCGATGGGGGTCTTGATCTCCGTCTTGAGCTCCGTCTTCAACTCATCCAATGGGGCTTTCATACCCTCTTGCAGTCCTTCCTTGAGCCCCTCCAGGACCACCAACGCCTCGAGGGGGCCTTTGAGCTCCTCCAAGGTTGTCTCTGTCTTTTTCAGGTCCTCCTTGGTGACGAGGGTGGCGATCTCAGTCTTGAGCAGTTGATCGAACACGTCCTTGATATCGTGACAAGCAGCTTCCACAGCCTCGACATCAGTCTTGGTGACTCGCTCGGGATCCTCCAATTGCTTGGCAGCGCTCTCTTTCATTTCTTCAAAGCCTGCAGCAACCTGTGTTACCAATGCTTCAACGGATGTCACGTCATCCTTCTTCGGGAGAGTATCCAGCTGCGTAGTGATGAGATTGATGGCTTCCCTGGTTTCCAGTATGGTGTTCTCCAAGCTGTCTAGATGTTCCTTTCGCACGGCTTGCTCGTTGTCAATGAGGTCGTCCAGCCGACCCTTAGTATTACGAAGGATGGTTTCAATCGCTTGGACGTCCTCCTTTGTTGAAGCATCGGTGCTGACAGGGCTTTCCTTGGACTTGACCCACTCCTGGATGGGCAGAATCGCCTCTTCCAGACGGGTTATATCCTCCTTGGTGACTGAGCTCTGGGCGTTAAGCAGGACTTCTTCGATCCGGGAAGTCTCGTCCTTGGAGACCGACTCTTGTACGAGTCGAAGCATGTCCTCGAGACGGAGCATGTCGTCCTTGGATGCAGATTCCTGGAGAGAACGAAGCATGTCCTCCATACGAGTGAGATCATCTTTGGCGACAGGATCGGCGTTCGCGGGTTCCATGGCCTCGATCTTGATCCGGAGCTGAGTGATGAGAACCTCAAGGTTTTTGATGTCATCCTGCTTGAGGGCATCGGCTGGGACTGGCACAACAGCGCCGTCATGCATGGTCGTCAATGCTTTGTCGTTCTGGCCTTGCAGTTCTCGGAGACCATCGATTTCTGAGCGGACATTGTCCAGCCCGGCTTTCAATGCGTCGAGGACTTCATCATTGGCTGTGAGATCCGCTGGCCGGTTCGCGACCTTGTCAATGCTGATGCGCAGATCGGCCAAGCCATCGTGGAGAGCATCTAGAATGTCCGTGACGCCGGCGAAGGGTCGGCGCAACTCGCCACGCACACTGTCGATTCCATCTCTCACGGCTTCGATGATCTCCTTCTGGTTGACTTGTGGAGTGACCGGCACCATGGAGGAGTTGACGGTGTCGCGTAGTGACTCCATGTGTGACTCGATTGTCGACCTGGAATCGCTCGAAACGCGGTCGACCAGCATAGCCATCTCATCTCTGAAGGTATCTAATGTGTCGACAAGAGTTTGGGTGATTTCTTCCTGCCCGGCGGTGCTGCCACTGAGATGACTGACATATGCTTCCATGTCGGCACGAAGCTTCTCCAGACCGTCCTTAGTAGCGTCTAAAATCTGCTCAGTGTCACGTCCATTGGCGGCGGCGTTCACTTTCGCATCCTCTGTCACTGCTCGGAACTCTCCGCGCATGTACTCAAGAATATCTTGCAAACGAGTGACGACTTCTTCGTTGTTGCTCTGGTGCGGTACGAGAGCTCCGGCGGTAGGCAGATCGTAGCCGCTGAGGCCTTCCTTGACCGCATGAAGCATGTCCTCTCGGGTAAGTTCTTGTGTGAACGCTGAGGGGGCAACAGGGAACTCGAACTCCTCTAAGCACTCGCGAACGGCTTCCAGAATCTCGTCTCGTGAGAGGCTTGTTGGTGTCTCGACGCGTGGAGGCGAAAAATGCTTGAGACCCTCAACAACTGCTTGGAACACCTCTTCTCGCGAAGCTCCCACAGGCTCCTGGTCCCTGTCGACATAGTCCTGCAATCCCTCTTTGAGGTACTCGAGGATCTCTTCGCGTCCAAGACCAGGATCTTGGTTCTCAGTCTCGGGCTTGTAGTTTTCCCAGGCGTCCCTGACAGCCTCGATGACATCCTCCCGATTCAGATCAGGCTCTTTCTCCTGCGATGCTTGGGAGTCTCGAAGCGCTGCTCTCATGGCATTATATATTTCTTGATAGTCGATTGCTGGTGCTCTTGAGGCCACAGAGTTGGCGGACTGGCGTCGATGCTCACGGAGAAGCTCGTCCATGTTCTCTCTCATCTGCTCGATTCCCTCGTGGACGATCTTCGAAACTTCACCATTATCAGTCGAGGGTTCTTCAGACTTTGATTGTGCCTGAGCTTCGTCCAGTCTCCTTCCAATCTCCCGTCCCATACCCAGCACTTCGCCACGTAGCTCCCGGACAAGAGCCTTGACTTCTGCGGTGAGACCGCCCCCTTGTGCTACGCTGTCCTTAACGGTACGGATGATCTTGAGCACTTCGTCACTGACGATCTCAGAAGCATTGCCAGATGCCGCAGATCTCGAGGCGGGCTCATTATGCAAGGCCCTCTCCGATCGATGGGTCAGCTGACTTGCATATCCAGGGTCGTAATCAAAGTCCATAGTGCTGTTGTCGTCGTCAAACACAGCTGCACGAGGCATATTCCTGGTGCTCTCTCCATGACCGCCGCCGCTTCGCGAGATCATGGCATCAGCTGGCTTAGTCTTGACGAGCTGGATCAGCTCCTCAACCTTCGAAGCGGGCGCCACTCCAGCAAGCTTCTCGGCAACGTCGGTCAGGCGAGCAAGAAGCAGGTCATGTCCCTCCTTCGTACCCATGTCTCTGATAATCTTGTCCAGTATCGCAATGGTAGTCGGAGACTCCGAGTTGGAGTTGGTGTTGGAGTTGCAGAGCGATGGTGTGCTCAAGGCATCTCGATCGATAGATGCCGCAAAGCTGTTCGGTGAAGGGATTCTAGGTAGAGAAAAGGGGCGTCCAGCTTTGCTTGGTGGAGGGGAGGTGTGGTGGGGCTTGGTATCGAGGAACAAGCTGTTGACGAAGGGGTCGCGGGAGCTTGGCCTGCTGCTTGCAGCAGCATCCTGGGCATTATTGATAAGTTCGCGCAAGCTCTTACGGATATCCTCGTCCCGAGCTTTTGTCGCTTCCTTCAAACTCAGCAAGTCGGTGGCATTGTCACGGCTTCTTCGGCTCAACTGGGCCATGTCTTTTTGGAGAGCTGTCGCGATGCTAGTGAGACTTAGAATCTGCCCCGAAAGAGCTTCGACCTGTTGAGGAGCCTTGACGAGTGCAGTAGAGCCATTTGCGACATTCTCCTTGTCCTGCTGACCTTGAAGCGGCATATTCTGTATTGCAAGCATGGTAGCAGATTGCGGAGGTGTGTTTTCGCCCAAGATGCTTTGTTGTTGTCTTTTTATCGTCGGGCGTACGACCGGCGTCTGACTTTGAACTGATGAAGGCGTGGTGGCCTCTCTCTCCGTCGATCTCAGATCTGCAAAGCTATCTCTCCTGCTATCGGCGAAACTGTCTCTTCTTGTGTCGGCGAAGCTGTCCCTTCTGTTGGCCGCCGGCGTAGAAGGGCGTGTCCGCTCAGGGGATTTTGTCGGCGAAGGGGGGTTGGATTGCTGGCCACTCTCCAAGAGCAGGCTGAGGTCTCTGACGTTTCCTGGTTGTAGGGATTGCATGCGTTTGTGGTGCGATCCTTTGATAAGAGAACGTTCGGGGGATGTTTCGGTGTTCCTTTTGGTCAAGGGCGCCGGAAGCATGGCGCTCTCACGAGCTCTTTCGTTTAGAGCAGCGTGAGCAGACTGAATAGCAACGGAAGTTCCTTTCCTAGAGGTTGTAACTGGCGATTGCGGGTTCATGGGCAAGGGCGGTGGTGCCCTGTCGGGATCTGAGCTGTCCCACCTGGTCTTCATCAGTCTACGCCAGATAGCAGACATGGCAAGCGCATCATGAATGTTGTGTATGGGGAATGGGTGTTGATGGAAGAAGTTTCGTGTTTTGGCGACTTACATGGGGACCAGAGCTCTGCCTTGATCAGAAGACATTGATTGTCTGTGTCTCAGAGGACGATCAGCGTCCCTGGAGGCTTCGCGCTCCACGGGCGCCATTGTTCTCGAACGGGGCGACGAGGTGACTAGAATGTGATGGAGGTCGGGTGGGTGATGTTGGTGGTGAGGCTAAGAGGCCTTGGAATGCGGGCGCGAGGGAAAATGTAAGTCAATGCAATGCGACACAGTCCCCCCCAGGCAGTTTGGTGTTGATGATGGGATATTCAGGTAGTGTTAGTCGTTGCTTGAGCGCCGCGCTGCACCAGGAAGAATGGCATAAAGCGTCAATTGCTAGGAGCAGATGTGAAGAAGCTCTGCAGGAAGCGATGATGGCGAATGTGCACAGCAAAACCTAAGCAAAACGAGGTAATGTCAAGTCAAGGTCATCCGGGACTCTGTGATCCAGGGCAAAGCTCGAGTCGGTGACAGCGGTAATATGGGTGGGAGCAGTCTTAAGAGCCGGGTGGGGGGGTTCAATGTTTGTTACCCGGGGGAGTTGGATGGTGGATGGAGCCGGGGATGAGTGTGGATGTGACGACGACGACAACGAACAGGTGCGGTGAGATGTTGTTCGGGGCTGCTCACGTTGACGGGCCCCCCTGCCAATCGAGGTTGACGGCATTTATTTTGCTAGGCGTTGCGGAGCAACCATCCCCAACTAGCAGTGCCGTCTGCGGTGTTGCTCAATGTTTGGCTGCGTTGATCGGGCACCCACTCGCGGCTGCATCCAAGCGGGGGCCGCTAGTGAAGCGCCCGTACCCAACCTTCGTGCCATCCAATGCCTATTCGCCAGGGGTGCTTTGGACGACACCGACGGGAAGAGTGCGATAAGATAAGAGAGGAAACTCGTCGTTTCCTCACATCTTCCTGTTCCTGCACTTCCAATACGGTTCTACCGCTCCTCCTAAGGTAAGTAACGTCAGGTACCTGACGCTCATTGCTATCAGAATATCAGTTCAGTGAACTGGGGGCAAGAATGTTCCGTAAGGTATCGGTGGCAAGAGCGTTTGCAAGGCAAGGGGCTTATATCTTCCACTGAAAATTGTTTGTCAATTGCATGGCCCGACCACAGCTCCTAGATTAAGGTATCAACATATCTGGAAAAGAAAACCGACGCTCTCTTTTTCTGGCCACGCAAATGTATATTTATATTGGCATCTACATATGATATCCTGATCTCGCCAACGTCATTCGATGGCTTCGGTGTCGGGTTGGCGACGCCTCGGTCAAAACAGAGCACCCTCCACATGGTAGGTATCTCGGTTTGACTGACACTGACTGACAGCGTGACCGACGTCAAGGCGTTGCCAGCCTTGGAGTACAATGTCCCAAAATATCCAGTTACTGGACGAGAACGAATAACAATCCCCGATTCAGGTTCTCACCGAATTCACGGAGTCGAGGAGGAGGGACTGGTAGAAAATCGCCATACCCAACTCACCTATAGTAAAGACAGAAACTAAATTACTCTTGATTTCTACATCTCAATTCTTGCGGGAGTAATGATACCTAGGAAAAACACCAGCAAGCTCACTTACCAGAGTTACTGCTTTGGCACACGCCGAACTAGGTATACCTTCCATTCCCTCTGCCGCGTGAAGGGCCAAGATGCAGTAGTAGTAGCAGCTCGAGCGAGGAAGACCCCCAAAACCAGACACCGGAAAAGGTCGAGAGGCAACCCAATCGTGATTGGCCGTAGACCTGCATCCATCTCCTTCCTTCCAAGATATTCATGAGGTCTAGACGCTAAGCAATGCAATTCTATTTCAAGAACCACAACTAAACATGACATCTCGCGTGATTGGACAGGAAAGAAGGCAATGATCGACGCGAGGGACCCGACAACTCTAATTCTTTGCTTCTCAGTTGCTACATTGGCGGGGTGGAACGTACACTGCAAGAGCCATATATAGAATTGAGTATAGGTCACGCCGTTGCTGGTGGAGTTTACATTTCATAAAGGGTACCGCGCATCACAGCGGTGATTTTCAATTATTACACGCGTACAAGCCGCGGTGCCACGGTCTACAGCCCTCACATCGCAAAGATAATTGGCAGGGTTTGTACGAATTGGACGCGGGTTGTGTGGTCGTCCGTCGTTGGATGCACACTGCGAGATGCACTGCCACACCCATAAATCACATGAAGAGAGAGTGGCGCAAAATGCTGCGTCAGCGTCAAGCGCCACGACTGCGTACTGGACGCCCGAGGGAGCGTGGGATGGTTGCAATAGAATGAGTTTCGCCAGGTTCTAGAACGACTTCTTCAGCACGACCAGGATGTTCAGACGTAGATCCTTCAGTTCCGCAACCGCAATGACGAGAAACAAGACGGTCGAAGCTGGTCCAACTTTGCCAACCTTCCCGCTGTTTAATTGATGAGGTACTGTGGTGCGGATACTCAAAACATCTATGCACTGTTGAGAGGGGGGCAGTGTGGTATGCTCCGTATCCGAACAAACTTCACATTGCTCCATTCATTAGTAGGGAGACCCTCGCTCTTGAGAGGCGGAAGCCAAGAGAGTATGGGACCCCGATGGGCAGTTTGCTCCATTCAATGACCGTCCATTTCAGCCCTTTATGCCCCCGACCGCCTTGGATCAATGCGGCCACCTCGACCAGCGATTGGGACAGATTCTCCCCACCCACAAGAACTTGCAACCCGAGGAGCGGATGCTGAGTTGGTCAAAGATGGCTTGCTCGGTGGCGAAGAACAAGTAGTCACAACCAAGGTATGTACGATTTGACAGATGCAGCTGGGGGGGG